TAAACATGCGACAAGCTTCATATTAAGGACTTTAAAAACTGGTAAGACATATAGTTTATAGTTTCGTTTCGCATATTAGTTTAAGCGGCTTGGCCCGTCATATGCTCTGACAGAAAGGCTGCGTGTGCCACTGACAGGGACACTGGGCTACTCGCGCTGTTTAATGTGTTTGAGATGTGCTGTCTTCCTGAATACATAACTTACATTTCACAGGTATATTCTCCATCTGTAAATGTTAGAAAGCCATGGAAATATTTCCATTTTACTGTCAGAAGTGCATGAGTCTTCTTCTTTGGGATTCTCCGCTAAACTTCAGTGAACGAGCAACGAAACGCGCATGCGCGCCAAACAGACAGCTCAATTAAATAGGAGCGCAATAATTTTGACTAAAATATACATTTCGCTGAAATATTTGTAGTTGGACAATAAATGTGACATTTAGAATTTTAAACCTACAAGTAAGCCTATTTTTATGATAGCAATGACTGTAAAGTGACTGTAATGCGGTAATCAAAAGAGCCTAACACAACTCTGTGCTTTATTAAATACAGATTTTTTAAATACAAATACAAAAACGAAAATACCGAGGTATATACCGTATATCGCAAATCGGCCCAAAAATACCGAGATATTAATTTTTGCCCATATCGCCCAGCCCTAGTTCAGCACTGAACAGGGTAAGGATCTGTCTCGGCGCGTTTAAGAGAAGTCAGACTGAAAACGCATTCTGCAGTGACCAAGCCTCTCATCAGCAGAAAGAATCAAAAGGCTAAGCTCACCTTTGCTGAGGAGCATGTTGTGTGGAGAGAGGAGAACTGGTCTAAAGTTCACTTTAGTGATGAGAGCAAGTTTAATTTATTTGGGTCAGATGGGAAACATTATGTTCGGCGTCAAACTAGGGAAAGACTGAACCCCGAGTGCGTAAAGAAGGTTTTGGGGATGTTTTGTGCAGCAGGAGTTGGGCATCTTATACAGTGACATGGCAGGTGAATGCAAATGTTTATCAGAATTCAGAACCTCCTTCAGCAACATGCGATACCTTCCCTGCAAACATCTCCTAATCAGCTTGCAATTTTCATTTAAGACAATGCTCCCGTCACACTGCAAAACAGGTAAAGCAGTTCCCTGAAGCTGAAAACATTGAAATAATGAAATGGCCGGTCCAGAGTCCTGATCTAAACCTGATTGAAAATCTCTGGAAAATCCTTGGTGACAAAGTTATGTCTAAGAAACCTACCACAGTTACTGAACAATGGAAGAGAGTGGAAGAAGAGTGGACCAAGATCACACCAGTGCAGTGTGAGAAACTAGTGATGTCCAGCAGCCGCAGATGTGCTGAAGTCATTCAAAGCAGGGGCTTCTACACTTCCTACTTGTTTCTGACAGCTGTAACCCTCCAACATTTTAGTTGTAATCTTATTTCGTGCTACAGTGGTTACTGGTCTCAAATTTTGATCACTGTGTTTTCCACAAAATAAAGGTTTTTGATCAAATGCTTTGTTTATTTTGTCAGACATGTTAGTAGAACAGTGAAATACCAACAGGTAATATTCCTTCAATTTTTGAGTGATGGAGACTAACAATATTTCAGAAAAAAAATCAAGTATTTATAGATTGTTCTCTAATTTTGATCTCCACTGTAGATCTGTGTTGAAGATCCAAACTTCAAAAGAACATAATATTTATGTTGTTGTCACTGCATTATTCATCAGTAATTTCAAAAGATTGTTTGGTTCGTATGAAAGTGTGCACATGTATGACTCAAACAAAACATTATGAGAGACAGTGATCGTCATTTGCTTGTCAAATAGAGTTTCCATTCCTGTGTTGTTGTGCGTTACTGACGCTGCTGGTGTGTTTGGCATCTTATTTTGCATACTTTTACCAGCTGAGGACACAATCCAAGTTGATTCGCCATTGTTGTCCAACTATTTCTGGATGCAACTGTAAAATATATATTTTTTTATACAAACAATCAGTGTTGGGTGTAATGCATTACTAAGTAATTAAAAAGTAAAGTGGATTTGACATCTAAATTTAACATCTAATGTTAAAATGTAGCTATGTTTTCAACTTGTTGAGTAGGCAGTTTTATAGTATTTATATGAAAGAATTAAAAGAGAATTTCATGTCTATCTTTGTAATGTTCAAGTGGTGGTCTGAGGTTGGTATGGGATTTAGAAAGTAATAAGGAATGCAATACTTTTAGAAAGTAATTAGTACCGTAATCGGTAACACTTTACTTGAAGGGGTGTGCAT